TAAAAAAATATATATTTAAAGTGATTGATAATTGGAAAAAATTCAAATGATTCTGTTTAAAAGAGAAAAAATGGTTTAAATTTGATTTAAATAATCATTTTGATATTTAAATTTTAAATGCTTTACAAAAATCATATAATTTAAAAAATTGTGAAAATAAATCTTTTTAAAAATAATTAATTTGATTTTTGTGGAAGCTGAGTTAAGTTGGTTTGGGGGCAATAATGGTCTAAGATTGGGAGGATCAAGGGGCAATGATGGAATTATGTTGCATCATTGCTGGCTTAAGATCATTTCATTCTCTCTCTGCCAACTGGCAGTTACTGATTGGTTCAGTTCGTTCTTTCTTTCACATTTGACCATTTTAATATTTTGACTTAAATATCATTTACACCTCATCATATATTTTATTTTATTAGAAAAAAAACACGTGATTTTCTTTAATTAACTTTGTAAATAATAATTTATCCACATTTAAAAAAAAATTGTCAAATTTTAAAAGTAAAAAATTAAATTAAATTAATTTTTTAAAAATAAATAAGAGTAATTTATTTTACTCTAAATTGTTGGAATTTATTTTTTATTGATTTAAGTTGGTGTGTAATGATGTTTCTATGGTGAGTCACTGGAAATGAACGTGCATCTTGTTTTGATTCATTCATATATCTCTGATATATTCGAGCGTCATAAATTTGTCAATCTCGTTAATCGTGCACAGAAAAATGAATTATGAATTTAAATCTATTGAACTAAACCCGTGCACAAAAATGTTATTGATGCAACATACCCGTTTTCTAAAATGTTCGACTACGACCACGATTAATTGTTTCACCCGACAACATATCTATTAATTTATCGAGCTGTTTGTCACATTACGTCTAACTCGAAACCGAAGTTTTGTAACAAACACACCACGTGTGGTGTGCATGGGAACTAAATGGGGACATGATATAAATTCAGAAGAAAACAGTATAAACCCTTCTATTTGTTGAATGTTAGGGTTCTGTCTGTTTGTCTCTATAATTTCACAGAAAAAGAAAGCCCGACTGTGAATTTGTGGACCAAAATGCACCTCACATCAAATAAAACTTATAAATTAGACGACTAATTAAAACATAGTTGAATAGATAAGATATCAATTATTATAAAATTAAAATATATTGATAATAAAGTCGGTAATATCGTAAGGTATGTAAAAAAATGTCGGGACTATCACGTGTTGAATCATGACTCTAAATCTTAGTCAGAATCTTGACGTAGCTTTATTGTTTGTCGTGAAAATTCTTAATTAGAATGTTCGGGTTTGGAGAATCCAAAGATGTCCAAAGATTTTAAAGACATTCTACGTTTTCGAAACCCTCAATTTTTTTTTTTTTTTTTTTTTTTTGCTAGAATCAAAATGTGGCCTACTCGAACATCAAAGATTGAAGCGTTTAAAATTATAATTATTTAGAATTATTTAATTATATATAAATGATATTTTTTAATGAAATAAAACCAATATAATAAATTTTGTCACTTCAAAATAATAATAATAAAAAAAAAATTGTTGGATAATTAGTTTCAAACTTCAATTATTTGACTTTATTTTTAGATTAAAAAATAGAATATTTGTCAAATATCATAAATTAATTATTAATGTGTTACATAAATATTTTCCTTTTAAAAAAACAACAATTTATTTATGCATATTTTTTTTAATTGGCCATTTAAAATTGATTATATGCCATCAATTTTAGGCAAGTTAAATATAATAATTAAAAGTATTTTTTTAATAAAATATATTTTTAAAATACTCATCTCAGCCCAAGCCCATTTAAAGGAGTCCCATAAACTAGGCCCATCTATAATAAAGAAGCCCATGAATGAAACAATGCTCCAAAATTGTCCTCCGTTCAACTTTCCTGACTCGAGTGAGTATAGAGATAGATGAGTATTGTGAAATTTTCCATCTTTGCCAATGAAATTGTAGAAACTCAATCTGAAGTTCAATCGAGTAACGAACGTCACTCGAGTAACGAACGTCACTCGTTTACCTACAAACATAAGGTAAAAGACAAAAGGCAAAGTCAAGACTCAACTCGAGATTCATTCGAGTTCATTCGAAGTTTTGGCAACCATCGTAGGAGGTGTGATGTAGCATTCTTCTTGATTGTTAACATTTTTGTTCGCTTCTTTTAGGTCGATGGCATACTCGGTGTCACGGTCATGTTTGTCCAAGACGTGTTGTTTATAGCCGCATGCCTGTTCTTAACCCCTTTTACATGTTTTCATCTTAGATAGGTGTTTACTATTTCACATTGTGTCTATATGGGGTGTATGACAATTCACCAAAATCATGTCTACACCCACTAGAACTAAAATGCCCCAAAATGTACTATAAAGAGATACAACTTATTGTCAGTTCTTCTTATCCAAGTTATATGATAGTTAAGCTGTGGTGATATTCAACCTTTCTTTCAAACTCTTGTTAAAAAATCTCTCCCACTTACGTTTTCTAAAACATTTCTCCCAAACATGACTTGAGATCCAAACAAATGTCGACGTTGTCTGTGACGTCCAAATTTCTCATGACTGACTTGTTCGCTAGGTTAAAACAAGTGTCAAACAATCGTTATCCCGTTGCCGTTAAGAGTGGAAAGTCTCTAAGAATGTTAGGAATGAAAGGAGGGCACAAGATTCTACTGTCCAGTTGTTGGCTGCAGTGTAAGATTACTTTTGCCCTCTTATACAAGTCCATGTGAAGTCCATCGTAGCAAATGTCGACGTTGTCTGTGACGTCCAAATTTCTCATGACTGACTTGTTCGCTAGGTTAAAACGAGTGTCAAACAATCGTTATCCCGTTGCCGTTAAGAGTGGAAAGTCTCTAAGAATGTTAGGAATGAAAGGAGGGCACAAGATTCTACTGTCCAGTTGTTGGCTGCAGTGTAAGATTACTTTTGCCCTCTTATACAAGTCCATGTGAAGTCCATCGTAGCAAATGTCGACGTTGTCTGTGACGTCCAAATTTCTCATGACTGACTTGTTCGCTAGGTTAAAACGAGTGTCAAACAATCGTTATCCCGTTGCCGTTAAGAGTGGAAAGTCTCTAAGAATGTTAGGAATGAAAGGAGGGCACAAGATTCTACTGTCCAGTTGTTGGCTGCAGTGTAAGATTACTTTTGCCCTCTTATACAAGTCCATGTGAAGTATAAGTTACTTCTCTAGGTAATACAATTTCTAAGTACTGTCTTCATGATCTTCAGCCCAAAGAGTAATTCGAAGTTGCAGAGAAAGCTGCTATTTTTATCAGGACAAAGCTTTACAATGAATAAACGCATCTGTCACAGCATAGTTTGGCCATCCAAAGCACCTGGATTTCATGACTGATAGCTATGCATTTCTAATTGGAGGTTTGCTTGATCTCTATGAATATGGTTGTATGGTTGTGGACTGAAGTGGTTGGTTTGGCAATAGAACTTCAAGCCACCCAGGCAAGAAGCACTGCTCTTGTTACTTCGCTAACTTAACTAGCTTTAGAGTTTCAATATTAGGTTAGGATCACTTTTGGTTCTTTTTGTTGATGGGTGAAGACTCATATGCTAGGAATTACGTATCTCCACAATGGTATGATATTGTCCTCTTTGAACATAAGTTCTCATGGTTTTACTTTTGGTTTCTCCAAAATGACTCGTACCAATGAACATATATTCCTTACTTATAAACTCATGATCAATTCATTGATTAGTAGAGGGACTCCTCTCCTAACAATCCTCAACACCATCTATTTTTGTTCGAGTGGAGTAAGATTATGATGGGGCTGAGACATCTGAAAATTCGGTTTTGGCTATCAATTATCAGGTTATCCTCACTAGTTTCTGGAAGTAGGTTCGTGAAATCCCAGGTTGGTTGGAGAGGGGAAGGAAACATTCTTTACAAGAACGTGGAAACCTCTTCCTAGTAAATGCGTAATGGGGAAGTCCAGAAGGGAAAACCTAAAAATCTTGAGGGGAAATCCGAAAGGGAAAGCCCAAAGAGGATAGTATTTGGATGAGTATCGATTCCGTTGCGTAGCTCTACAAACAGACAATATATGCTAGCGGTGGACTTGGACTTTTACAAGCTCCGACCATTTCAGACAGAGTAGACTCCTTGCTAGGAATATTTCTATTGAATTCATCCGATATTTGGGATACTGACTGGCTGCATTTTCTTCGTGAATGCAGGCCGTTTCGAGAAAAGGTTAAGGGACATGGCTGGGGCTGTACCCTTGATAGCACAGTTTGAAACCATCCTTGCTGCAGCTCATGCTTCATATGAACCCAACAAAACAGGAAGAACAGACTCTGCAATCTCCTCCTATTTTCTACAAGTAACTAGGTCTAATTAATTCTCTCTTATCTCTCTGTGTGTTTTTGTGTGGCAGCGTATGACAGGTTATTCACATCGGTCCAACAGACAACATCGAACTACAATTTTGTGAAGGAAACAATAGGAATGTCGTTGTAACAGCTCAAGCCTACTGCTTGCAGATATTGTCCGGTTTTCCCTTATGTACTTTCGCTCAAGATTTTAAAATGCATCTGGTAGGAAAAGGTTTCCACCCCTTATAAGAAATGTTTAGTTCTCCTCTCCAACCAATATGGGATCTCACAGTCTACCCCTTGAGGACCTAGAGTGATACATAACACACCGTATGTTGTCTAGCTATGATACCATTTGCAACGAAGTATTCTTTATACGGGAGTGAAAATCTCTCCCTAGTAGACACATCTTAAAACTATGAAGCTAACGATTATACATAACCGACCAAAGCTGACAATAGTTGCAAAGAACAATTTTGCTGCTGGCTTGTATTGGCCCTACCACTTACCAGAGATCTCTAGAGTATATTCAGAATTTTAAAAATTATTAGATTCATTAAATTTAAATTTGTTAAATTCAAACTGAAAATGACACAAAATAAAAAAAAAAAAAATTAAAAAAAAAAACAAGTAGATAAATAAATAAAATCTAAGACAGATATTTTTCCATCCATCTTCTCGGATAAAGGAATGCAAGATAATAGAGCAAAGTTAGGACAAGTCGACATTGAAAACCCCAGAATTTGGAATTCAGAATTCATACGGAATTGAACAGATAATTGTTTGTTCAACTGACCTGCAAATCGGAAGCCATCTCATCGTCCTCGTCATCTTCATCCACATGTTACAGTTGCAGAACTTCCATGGCGTCCGCCTCAAATTCGACCTCTGCGCTCCTCTCCGCTCCTTTCGCTCCACAATCCCCTTCCCCATTCACAGAAATCATACTATTCACAGACTAATTAGTGCCAAGTTCTCAGCCGAGCATCACAACTTCACTATCTCTTACCTCACAGACACTTGCGGATTGCTGCCGGAAACCGCCATTGTTGTGTCCGAGAAGGTCCAGCTTCACAACCGCGAAAAGCCGGACTCCGTTTTGGAGCTTCTCGAGAGCCATGGTTTCTCCAAATCGCAGATATCAAAGCTCGTCCGTAAACGCCCTTCACTTCTCCTCGCTAGCGTAAACCAAACTCTTCTCCCTAAACTGGAATTCTTCTACTCCATTGGCGCCTCGAGACTGGTTCTCGCTAGAGCCCTAACCTCCGACCCGACGGTTCTGACCCGAAGCTTGCAGAATCAGATTATTCCTTCTTACAGGTATCTGAAGAGCGTTTTGCTCTCGGACGCGAAAGTCGTCGCCGCGCTGAAACGAACGTCCTGGATTTTCCTCGAGGATCACACGAAGACTCTGATGCCGAACATCGACGTTTTGCGAGACGAAGGCGTGCCACAACCGTGCATCGCGTTGTTACTGACGCATTTCCCCGAGACTCTGATGCAAAAAACGGACAGTTTCGAAGAAACCGTAGCCGAAATCAAGGGAATGGGCTTCGATCCGAGCAAATCCACCTTCGTGTTAGCGATACACGCCATTTCCGGCAAAGGAAACAGATCGATCTGGAACCGATGCTACGATGTGTACCGAAAGTGGGGCTGGACGAAGGAGGAGATTCTAATGGCGTTCAGAAAGCATCCGCACTGCATGATCTTATCGGAGGAGAAGATCTCGAAAGGAATGGAGTATTTCACGGAGAAGATGGGTAAATCCGCGGGAACGATCGCGAAAACTCCAGTGGTTCTGTTCTTCAGCTTGGAGAAGAGGATCATCCCGAGGTGTTCTGTGCTCAGAGTTCTGTCGGCCAGAGGATTGGTGAAGAGAGATTTGAGCTTGACGACGGTTCTGTTGCCAGTGGAGAAGCGATTTCTGGAGACGTTCGTGATCAAATATCTTGAGAACGTTCCTGAGCTGATGGATCTGTATCAAGGGAATGCCAATCTTGATGAAGTTTTGGCTTCAAATTTTTAGGTACATTTCAAACACAATGGATTTCATCTTTTTGGTGGATTTTTTTTTCAGCTCTCCATCTTCTGGCTCTCTCTCTCATGCTTTGTTCTTCTTGGTATTGCCTTTTCTTTTCTTTGAATTTTTCTAACACATTCTTGGTTATAATTAGAAAAGGTCATACATAGTTTTTTCTTTTAGGATATTATATCCAATTTAGTTGTAATATAGCTTAAGATACTTCTTTAGTACATAAACAGAGGAAAATAGAATTTGTTTCGTCTACCTAGGGTTACTAATTGTGCGTAAATAAGTGCTAAAACGTTGTATAAATGGCTTAAAAGTGAGCCATCGACATTTGTCGTTGTGACATTAAAGTGACCGATCCAACCTCGGCATCGCGTCGCGATTTCAGCTTGCACATGCCTCCTATTCGTGAGTGAGGGAATAATCTTATGTTGACCCTTTGAATATTATCCCTAAAAATGATGCTCTCGACATGACCTTAGATTAGACAGGACTACCCGTTTGGAAAAAAGTACTATGCATCCAACCCTACTTGAAAGAAAAAATAAATTAATTAAATAAATTAAAACGTTGTGCAACTTCGGTACTGTATTGTGATATTGGCTTGCATGCCTACTCTTTGTGACTGGTGGAGAGATTTTCCCTAAACATTATCCCCAGAGACCGATATTCTTGATGCAAGTTGCGACCCATATCAGGTGAGACTAGAGAGAATTTGAGTCCTCATCTATTATCGTGACACTATTATGGTTGATCCAATCTCGGTACTGTATCGGTGCCTCAACTTGTATGCCTCCTCTTTGTGAGTGAGGGAGGAATTTTATGTTTAAATATTATCAAAAAAAAAAAAAAAAAAAAAAAAAAAAAAAAAAAAAAAAAAAAAAAAAAAAAGAAAAAAAGTAGGCGGTTGGAGTTGAAGGGACTATTATAATGGGAAACCCTTTTGGTAGAGAATTTTGACCAGCAGAGCTAGCTTAGTTTGACGGATCAGTTGCTGCTGCTCTGATAAAGCCAGCAAACCTGCTGGGCTTCTCACCTCGTCCTGGGATTCGGTTGGCCCAACATTAACACGGATCCATTTAGGTCAGCTAACTGGGCTGGTCAATTATTACCATTTTTGGGCCCCAAGCCCCAATTAAATCCTTCGCTGCCCTCTTTAATGCCCCCACTTGGGTCACAGGCCCACGCTACGGAACCCGGCGGTCTTTTTCAATTCGGCAGTTCCTTATGAATGCATCCACTTTTTCACAGTTCCCGATGTGGGAACATTTCCATTTTTTAATTTATAAATAATAATATTATTAATATATGTTTCAGTCAGTCCTTAATTAGAGATGGTTCCTAAGTACGTTCAAAATTACAAACCAATTAAAGAAAAAAATTTAAATGATAATCTCCAAATTTCCAAATTTTTAATTAAAAAAAACTTAAAATGTCTTTCTTGGCCAGACTTTTGATTTAAACTCGTTTCAAACGGTAGCTCCAAACTGAAGAAGATAGCTCCGAACACTATATTTTCTCTATTAAAAAAAAAATATAATAATTAGTTAAATAATATATTTTAGATATTCGTAATCCATTAATATTTTTTCGGTATATTTTATATCATTTTCAAAATTTAGTCGGTAATATATAGATTAAATCAATTAATCCTAATATTCCGTAGAGTAAAAATATAATAAATTTTATTTATTTCTTTGAAATTTTAGATTTACTAAATTTAAATTCTCAAACAGTTAAAAATCATTTAAAATATTTTTCAATATTACGTATCATCTTCAAAAGGATAAAATATGTGCTTATAGGTGTGTTAAATAATTTATAACAAAAATTATAAATGAAAAAAAAAAACATAAAATATTTATCCTTTATTCCTATTTGTCACATGTTCAAATAACATCCTCCCCTCCGTATATGCTGTAAAGATCCTAGAAAGTTCCCGATTAGACTGACACTCGTAATTTAGCCCTCATTTTCCAGATAATAACAACTTTGCCACTCAAATTTTTTCCTCCAAAAATGTTAAATTAATTTATTTTCAGACATGGGCATGTCGATTTAAGTCTTCTAACTTTTATTTTTACAAAATAATAATAATAATAATAATAAAATATCAAATTTTGCTACGATACGAGGTAATATAAGAGGTCATTTCTTGCATGTATACGAGATGATCTATTAAGTATATACTGCCTTACACTATATAATTCCGTAACTCCGTACATGAGACAATCTATTAGGATCGTGCATTATACGTTATGGCCCCACACGCTGAAACGCTCCAAGCCAAATAAATAAATACTCACCATCAATTATTGCAAATCTTATAATTAACCTATTCTTGAATTTATCTAAATTTAATCTATATATATTATTAATAAATTTTAAATCTATGCATTCTAATAATTTTTATTTTAAAAAAAAATAGTGAGAGAATGTCAATTCAGACTATTAAAAAATAAATAAATCGACCCTTTTTTTTAAAATTAAAAAAATAGAGACGAAAATAATATTTGTATGCATTTTTTAAATTTGAGTTAATTATTTATTGTCGTGATTAAATTTGGGTCGTGGGGTGTCAAAAAACAGTGGCAATAATACCCACAGAAAAACAATATCATATGAGCTGTGAATTGTGGACGTATTATATATTTACTATCAATCTCTGAGTTAATTAAATAGTTTGAAATGTTGTTGCATTGGATAATGGGATGTTTATCGTGACATATTATATATTTACTATCAATCTCGAGTTAATTAAATAGCTCGAAATGTTGTTGTATTTGTCAAAATGATGGATCGTTACAGGTCATTAAATTTTTAGATTTACTATTGATTCAAAAAATTCGATGACTCGAATAACTTAATTAGCCCAACTCAAATAGTACACGTTAGTTCGATTATCGATTTATTTAATTTAATCTAAATAAATAATAAATTTATTTGCTTGTATATACATATATTTGTTAAGATTTCATAATTATTTAATTTTCAATAACTCTTAAAAATATTTTTTTTTGAAGGGATAAATAATTATCAACATTAAATCTCAATTTTAAAAATATTAAATACCCAAATAAAAAAAATGTATTTTTATTTATATTATAGTCTCTCATTAATTTAATTACTATAATGTTTTTACAAACTAACTAAAATTAATTATACACGACAATAACTAATAATAAAACATTATATTTTTATTTTTAAACTTTTGATTACCTTAAATTTTTTTAAATTAAAAATTATTATATTCTTTTAAATTAAATTTAACAGGATAATAATTAACACTTACTCAACAATAAGTCTTAAATTTTAGACGAATCTAGCATGGGGTCCTGTTTAACCTCGTGAATATTAATTTAGATTTTTTTATTAATTTAAAATAAATATTTTTAAATTTATGACATCAATATACTTTAATTTTTAAAAAAAAAACATTATGAAATGAATGAGGTATAAAACCATGTTATTAGGCTTAGAGTCTAAAATTATTTGCTTATAAAAGGAAAAAGCCCCAAACTATTTTTTAATAAATAAATTGGTCTAAAAAGATAAAAAAAAAAATAAATAAATGTGGATAATGTATTGATTTAAAAAAAAAAACATCTTTTTTTAACAATTATGGATAAACTATTTTCATGATTTGAATAAAGGTCGTGATGTAACATTTAATTGGAAATAAACTCAGAGGTTCATTGTTTTTTTTGGAAGACAATGGAATCTTTCTGTCTCTGTCGTCTGGTATATGAGTCGAGCTAAAATAAAATTTTACAATTTATTTTGACAGAGCGAGAAAATGAAGAGAGAAAGAGATTGAAATAAAAAAAAAAAAAAAAGAGAGAAATTATACAAAACGCGGCTGCTGTTCATACCAAAAAACCGGGGGAGAAGAGGGTGGGTTTTTTTTTTTTTTTTTTTTGGTTGGGAATTCCAGCTAAAAAATTGAAATCTACATTTAATGAATTTTGAGTTAACTCAACAGAGATCGAACCTTGATTGTGCTGAAGATCGGTGATTTTGGGATTGTTTTATTTCATTCTATCTTCTTCCCAGAATTTCTGGTGGGTTTCTCTTAAATTTTCGATTTCGGCGTGGTTTTGATTTTAGTGGCGTGATCGGGTGGGATTGCGAGTGTTTTTGGGGGAAATCGTTAATGGGTTTTCGTGGGTTTTTGATTTTGTGAGATGGGTTGGATGAAGATTTGGGTTTGGATGTTTGTCAGGGCGACAAACGTTTGGTTTTGAGGTAGCTGTGTTCTTTGTTCTTGTTCTTGTTCTTGTTTTTTGAATGGGTTTCAATGATTTCTGTGGGCGTAGGGATGCCGGGAAGGAAATAGGGCGGTGCCAGGAGACATGGAAGATACTGAGCTTGAAGAAGGAGAAGCTTGGTCTTACCAAAACAATGAAGTTTTTGATTCAAATATCGACCCGGATATTGCTCTCTCCTACATCGTAAGCCTTTTGTTCATCTTGTTTTGATATTGTAACTTCTAGATTCTGGATTTGACCTTGTTTGCTGAATTAGATCTCCTTTTTCCTTTCCCTTTTTGAATGCTCATACTCATAGTTAGAGCCTAGTGAATAAGAGAAAATGTAAGAAAGAATGAGAAGATCTTAGGTGAAGAAACTTAAGCATGATTCAAGGAACCGTTCCACACTCGATCCCGTTCCGGGAAGACGAAGAATTTTGCGTTTCATTTGTTCTTGAATATCTGCTATGGATCTCTTGAATTGGAAGTCAAGTGTCTTGGAGGAATCATTATGGTTACCTCTTGTAATCTTTATGCTTCGTTTATCATCGGAGATGTAAGCATTGAAGTTAAGAGCATTCGGTTGTTAGTGTAATGAATTTGTTTACTGTGGATGTCGGGGAGCGATTTTAGTATAATGACTATTTGTTTCTAGACAAGAACATTAGTCATGTTTGACTCGTTTCCCAGATAGAGATATCAAGAATATCTGCTATGGATCTCTTGAATTGGACGTCAAGTGTCATGGAGGAATCGTTATGGTTACCTCTTGTAATCTTTATGCTTCGTTTATCATCGGAGATGTA